TCCAAGCACATTCATTAAATTAATTTTTTTAACCTTAACAATCTGCCTTTTCTTAACATTTTTATTCTAAAACTAAGCAATCAGTTATACATTATAAATATTCTTTATCAATATCTTTTGTATATTTTAAATTAATTACTGATTTTATTAAAAAAAAAACTATTGTAATGTTTAAAATACGCATTAAAATTAAATCAATTATTTTAAAGTAAAAATAAATTTATTAAATATTTACTAAAATTAAAATGAAAAATATTAAATATATTTTTGTTATTAAATATTAAAAAAAAAAAAAAGTTTTAATATTATAAATTTTAAGTTATTAAAACATAAATTATGAAATTTTATAAAAAAATTTGAATAAATAAAATAAAAAAAAAATATATTACTTAATGAGAAAATATATATATTAAAATAATAATAAATAAATATAAAATTTTAAATTATTAAAAAAAATATTTATATATAATAAAAAAAAATATCTTTTTAGAAATAATAAAAAAAATTTAATTATTAGTAAATAATAATAAAACTTATTTATATACTAAAAATAAAAAAAAATTAAATATATTTATATATATACTTTTTATTATAAATATTTAAATATATTGAGAAAAAAAAAATATAAAAAAATTTTAATTTTTAAATTAAAATAAAAAAAAATAAATATTTTAAAATTTTAATACGAAATATATTAACATTATTTATAGATAATTAATATTAATAATAATAATAATAATAATAATAATAATAATAATAATAATAATAATAATAATAATAATAATAATAATAATATTAATAATTAAAAAAAAAATATACATATTAAATTTAATAAAATAATTTTTTTATAATCATTATCTATTTATATAGTAATATTTATATATATATTTATATTTTTTAGATTTATTTTAATTAAAAAAATGAGCGATTTATATAAATAAGCTTTAAAAAAAATATATCTAACAAACCAAATATTTGTATAAAATATTAATTTAAGTTTTATTTATATAGAATAATAAATAAGAAGACGATGATGAAGACGAAGATGATTAAGAAGAATAAAAAGATATTTATGAGTAATATAAATTTACAACCTGAAAATTCCAATATAAATATAAAAAAAATTAAAAATAAAAAAGAGATCCGACTTCACATAAAGCTGTTCATAAAGAATTTTCTCATATAACTGGTCCAATTAGAGCAGTTCCTTTAAATATCCCAAAGCCTCCAAACTATGAACATGGTCAAAGTAATGAAATCGATCCAAATTAAATTGAAATACCAAAATCTCTTTCATAAGGTGGTTAAAAATCTTAAAAAGATTTTTCTCCTTAACAATGGAATGAATATTTTGATACAATGGAATATTTACCTAATGTTTTTTTATTTTTTAAACAATAAAATAAGAATAAATAAATATAAAAAAGGGGATTCCATTATATACTGCAGGAACTAATTTGCCTATATTTTTTTGTTTACATGGAGCAGGTGATGTAGCGTGCAGCTTTGCATGTTTGGCAAATGAAATTAAACAATTTGGAACTTTAATAACATTTGATTATAGAGGACATGGTTTAAACAATAATTAAAGCGCAGATGATTTAAGTTAAAAAATACTCATTTAAGATACTTAAGAAGTTTTTGAATATGTAATTTAAAAACATCCAAATGCATGCATAATAATAGTAGGACATAGGTAAAAATTATGTTTAATTGTTTTAAAAATAATTATATATATTTATGTATATAAATAAATATATATATAAATATATATATATATTTATATACAAAAATAAAGTATGGGAGGTTCTATTGCAGCAAAATTTGTTTAAGAAACATATAAATAGTATTCTTAAAACATATAAGGTTTAATAGTTATTGATGTTGTAGAAGGAACAGCTATTGAAGCTCTTCCCTATATGGAGAGTATTGTTAGTAGTAGACCTAAAAGATTCGATAGCCTCGAAGGAGCAATTAAATGGCAGTAATAATAAAAAAAAAAAAATATTTTTTTTATTTATTTGAATAAAATAAAAAAAAAATAGTGTACGTACAAATTAAATAAGAAATTTGTAATCGGCAAAGTTTCACACCTCCTAATTAATTCCTGTAT